TTTCCAGCCACTACCAGGTCAAAAGGATTAACCCTTAGGCTGGAAGTTTTACATGGTCGGTAGACAAATTTTTTATAACACGAAAAAAAAAAAGAAAAACTGAACAGATAAATAAGCATAGCTATCCCGAAATAAAATCTTAAATCCTTCATGTTTACCAAAAAAAGAAATAAAATATTAACAATAGCTTATACACGTTAACAAATGGAATACATGCAAATGCATGTACATATTTAAGAAAAATACCAGTCCCATCCAAATCTGGTTCCAATGCTAGGGACTGGGTGTGGTTTTATGGTTCAACCAACCGAGGGCTGGCTTACCAACATTTTAGGGAAAAAAGGGGTCAAGGGGAAGTTATAATACCCAAAAGAAATACCATCCACATGGATAGATCTTGCAACACTAATGAAACTCAAACAAAAGGTAAAATTTGAATCCTCTAGACCATGGACAAAGTAACACAATACCTACACTTTGGGTGATTATAATCGATAATCCTGAGAAAAAGGTAAATTGCCGAAACCTCCTCTGAAGTTTTTGACCATTGCTGCAATCTCTCCTAAAATTTCATAATTGTAATCACCTCCCCTAGACTTTCTAACACAGTTGCAACTATATCACTTATACTAAAATCCTCTAACAAGAGGCATAATACTTGATGATGCGCAATCTGGAAGCTCCAAACTGGAAGATGACCTGGACCTTAGACATGTAGCGAGCTGGACCAAGCTGCAAGACAGAGGATTAGAGAACCCGGGGTGGCTAATCCGGCAAGGTCGCTCCGATGCTTAAGTCAGTACTGGGTTGTGCGAGCTAAAAGTTTGTATACTAGTAAGCTAGTGAGCAAATAATCGTGCGTACCCTGTGTCATTGGGGTTGGTGCCTTTATATAGGCATTGTTTGGCGTAGGCTTCACGCACCACATCTGAGATTTCCAAGAGGTTGTGCCTTACCAGTCCGAAATCCTCGAAGGTAACCACTATGCACGTTGACCATCCTCCGGAACATTCGGTACACGGGCCAACTTTAGAGAAACCTGGGAATGTCGGGGCATGCATGCCGAATTTGTTGGCGAGCACATCTCGCAAGTCACCACCTGGTCCTCAATTAGGTCGGCAAGCCCTGAGAGAGGTCATGCCTAGCGTCGAGGTCACTTCGGCCGGTGACGAGGTGCTACAAGTCGGCCTTGGACAAGGTGCTGCAATCCGACCTAAGTTGTGGTAGAGGTCGCCAGGTCAATGATAAAGGCAAGTCGCCATGTCGGGGCGAAGACGAACTACGATCTGGGACTCCAAATCATCACTTAGGTGACATTTGGGTGTCGTCCAACTGTTTCGGGATGCCATGTGTCATGAGGTTATTAGAGGGCCAAATCCACCCTCATCAATTGCCCCCACTCCAGAGCTGAGGGCAACTCGACGAAGGGAGTAGATTGTTCCTTTGGCCTGGAATGACTGTTTGATGAGCTCATAGTCGTTGGCTTCAATCCAATTTGCTCCTCAGGTCAGGAAGAGTCCAAGTGTTTGTAGCCTTACGTAGGACCTCGCAGTCTTGATTATCGGGGCACAAGAGCAAATTCATCCACTCGAGGAGAGGTGGAACAAGTACCCCAAGGACATCTACCTTATTAGGGATGTGATCATCAAGGGGTTCTGCAATCCGACTAAGTACCTCATGAGCAAAGCTCATCATGCCGTCCTCAAGAAGGGGTTCTGTGTGGCTGCTTCATCAAGTTGCTCCACCTAGGTAGACTTCGACGTAGTGTCCCTCAAGTTGGTTCTCAAAAGAGTAGCTAGCGAATTCAATGCGGAGCCTGAAACCGAGGTGGAGGTCTACTGTGAAGAGATCGGCCAAGTTTGCGTTTGTCATGGTCTAGTCTTTCCTTTGTTTCTCTTTCTTGTGCTAAATTAGTCTTCCTTCCTTCGCTTCTTTTTCTGTCTTTCTTTTTCTCTTTCTTCTTTTGCACATCGATGAGGCTAAAGCGGAAAGGTATGTACCCAATCTGTCTGCACACCAATGAGGCTAAGGCGGAAAGGTATGTACCCAACCTGTCTGCACACCGATGGGGCAGAATGCGAACTGCTTTTTTATTCCGCCCGTGCCGAAGAGGCGACTGGGCCTTATGTTACCCATGCCGAAGAGGCGATTGGGTCATAAGTTGCCCATGCCGAAGAGGTGACTAGGTCTTATTCATGTTTAGCACCGAGGTCACTATTTGTTCGGCACCGTGGCCCTTGGACTCTAGGAGCGACTCATAGTCCACTCCCCATAATATTATTTAGCCGATGTGCGGCTTGACCTATTCGCCTAAGCGGGTGGTCATTCTGTAGTAACTTCTCATATGGCTGCTTCTACGTCACCCCGTAGGATTATCTTCCTAGGTGAGTGCTTGCGAGACCACAACATACTTGTTCTGCCCCCCCTTATGAGGGTTGTTGATACATAAAGTTGTTGTCAGTGTGAGTTGACAGTTCGGGGCCACGGCTGCACTGTATTAGCCTCATAGTGACGCCGGTCATCCACTCCTACAAGAAGCCATTAGGAGCTTGACCTGCGGGGGCAGCACTACTGACTTTAGGTCGCCAGCTCGCACGGGAGCCCTTCCTTACACGAGAGCCTTGGAAGGCTCGACCTGCAAGGGCGTCCATGCAGTCCGTTGGCCGCTGGCTCCTGCAGGAGCCACAAGAGCTTGACTTGTAGAGGTGACCTCGCGAAATGGGGCTGATGAGGCCTCGTCCTAGCTGATTACCATTGAGGATGAGTTGAGGTTGTTTTGCTGCTATCTACATCAAGTTTCTCCCATGCTCTGATATGGAAATTCATGCTTCATCTAAAAGAATTTCCACACTTCAATCCCGGCGAGAATTGCTGATAGCTCTACCGTGGGGAGAGGGGTGTTCACATGCGGTAGCGGTATATTTATTTGGGGCACTGGGAATGCTAGGTTCGACCTGAATTTGTCTGATTATCACAGGAGAGTTCTCAAGGTTCATCACAGATGTTCTTGCCTGTACTAATTGATATTCCTTCTGGATGTTGGTGTTGCTCAAAAATGCTTTTTAGTTCATTAAAAATGAAAATTAGAGAGTGAAAACTTAAATTTTTAAAACGCGAGATCTTAGCTTTTTGGAAGATGAGGACTTAGCTTTTTAAAATGTGAGAACTTAGATTCTTGTAGTCTTTCCCACAGATGACGCCAATTGATGATGCACGATCTGGAAGCTCCTAACCGGTAGATGACATGGACCTTAGTCGTGTAACAAGCTGGACCAAGCTGCAAGACAGAGGATTAAAGAACCCGAGGTGGCTAACCCGGCAAGGTCGCTCCGATGCTTAAGTCAGTACTGGGCCGTGCGAGCTAAAAGTTTGTATGCTAGTAAGCTAGTGAGCAAATAATCGCGTGTACCCTGTGTCATTGGGGTTGGTGCCTTTATACAGGCATTGTTTGGCGTAGACTTCACGCAGCGCATCTAAAATTTCCGAGAGGTCGTGCCTTACCGGTCCGAAATCCTCGGAGGTAACCGCTATGCACGTTGACCATCCTCCGGAAAATTCGGTACGCGAGCCAACTTCAGAGAAACCTGGGAGTGTCGAGGTATGCATGCCAAATTTGTCGATGAGCACATCTTGTAGGTCATCGCCTGGTCCTCAGTTAGGTCAACAAGCCCTCGAGAGAGGTCGTGCCTCGTGTCGAGGTCACTTCGACTGATGAGGTGCTACAAGTCGGCCCTTGACGAAGTACTGCAATCTAACATAAATTGTGGTCAAGGTCACCAAGTCAGCGATAAAGGTAAGTTACCAGGTCGGGACGAAAACGAACTACGATCTAGGACTCCAAATCATCGCTTAGATGGCATCTAGGTGTCATCCAACTGTTTCGGGATGCCATGTGCCATGAGGTTGTTGGAGGGCCAAATCCACCCTCGTCAATACCCACATTACTTTTAACCAAAATATTTATTTTTCAAATTCTCTTCATATCAATCCATCAAAGGTAAATTTACTTTTAATCTCTTTTCTGAAATTGAATTATTTTTCAAATTTGCCTTTCATATCAATAGCTCAAAGGTAAAGCTGCAACTTTAGTTTATCTTTTTTTTTCATAAAATTTGTATTTTTTTTCTATAGAAACCAGCCTCAATAGCAACATCATGAATAGTTTGGACATTTTTGCACCTCTTGTTTGATGATTCTAACCAAGGTTCAAAGTATCAACCAATACGTATCATATCGGGAGCTTCCCAATACGACCCTATAGAGGGTGTATCAAGGTTTTGACTAGTTTAGGGGGGCGAACAGACCTTAAACCGGCCCCTCTAAACCAGATTTAAAAAAAAAAAAAACTACAAATATTGCCTGATATGCCTCTACCTATCAGGCACATTCTAACCAAGGTTCAAAGTATCGACACGTATCGGCCGATACTTATTGTTCCAGGACCCCTCCGGTACGCCCCTATAGTGGGTGTATCAAAGGTCTAACCAGTTCAGAGGGTAGAGGAGACCTAAATTGCCCCCCTGAACCAGTTGCAAAAAATATAAAAAAAAGGCCTGATACACTATATCGATTTGCCCGATACGCCTATACCGGCATATCGAGCATATCAATATTTTGAACCTTGGTTCTAGCAATACAAGGCAATACACCGGTAGGGCGTATCAGCCTGTATTGGTACTATTTTTTTTTTTAAATTGGTTCAGAGGGGTCAGTTTAAGGCCGATCTACCCCTGAACCACTCACCGACCCAAAACACCCCCTGTAGCGACATATTAGGAAGGCTTCAATACAATACATATCAGCAATTTACCGCCTGAGAAATTGCATTCTTCAACTGCCTTAGGTACTCAGGTTGCATGTATACCTTTAAAGCTTTGTAGTTTCAAGCGTCTGCTTCTAAGAAAATGCCCACACAGTTTCATCATTTCATGCAAATGCAACCAGCACAATTTGACAGTGCTGCTTAGAGGGGGCCTTGATTTCATCAGAATAACTTCAAGTAAAACATCAGAAAATGACGATAGCATTCCTTCCTGGAATTCCATTTCCAGAAGATAATAAATGAGAAATAGAAAATGGTCATAAGTAATTTTAGCAAAAAGATCAAACAGTTGGAACAGCAAGAACCTACATTCTTCTTCTCCTTGTGTGTGTGTGGGGGGGGGAGTTGGATAAACAATTTCACAGACCAAATAAAGCAATTAGTGGAAAGAACAGCAACATAGGACATGAACCTTATTCAGTGATGCAGATACCCCCATACCTAAAAAGGGAGTACAGCCACATTTAGTCCAATGTTAAAGGCCCGAGGGGAGTTTCAAGACCACCAAAAATCTCAACTTGTCAGAGGTTTAACCTTCCGCTTGTGACCCATACTGTTGACAAGGTCTTTGCGAGTACAAACAGGGAACATATTTACATTCTTCAACACTTTCAGTTGCCTAAGAACATATGGAAAGCTTAATTGATCCCGTGAAGTAAAACGAACCACCTCGTTGAACCAGAGGCACATGAATAGGTTTGTCAACGGTGTGTGCTCCCTCACAATGATAGATGCCTCAGCTAAAGCTGCACAAACCAACCCTTTTTAAGTTGAGTTCATGATTAAAGAATAACTCCTATTTGGATATTAACAATTAACAAATGGAAAGCTCCTCCATAGAAGTGATCAATATGCTATTAATGTAAACCAGCACAAATACTTTCTTTTCTTTTCACATTATGTATATTTTGTTTATAGAAATAATGGAGTAAAGGGTTCCTTCTATTATTATTTTCTTCCACCATTCTCTCTCTCTAATGAACTTCCTTTTCCCTACCTGTCAGTCATTTTCCAGCACATTTTTTCCACAAGCATAAATTCTATTGAAGATTAGTAAAATCCTAAACGCAGGACTTTCAACCATAACAGAATAACAGATGATGGCAATGACAGAAAAACACTGATGTAATTATGGCAAATTGCAATAATGCTAGAACAGCAATAAAGGCAAGGGCATAGAAGAAGAAAGGAACAAAACTATAAAATATAAAGGATAAATACCTTGTCCTTTCAGGTGATAGTGGGCTCAAATCCCAGCAGCCACATTTAAGGTGATAGTTCTATTACAAGTTGAAGGGGCTAGAAGAGATAGGAGCAGAACAAAAAGGTCGTGGATTATAGTAAGAAATGATTTAAGGTCCCATAATTTAACAATGCATATGGCACTGAAAGATTGAAATGACAGAATAGGATTCATGTAGCCAACCCCCTATGGTAGGTAAGAGGCCGCAGATAAAAGCTTAAGTGGCTGAACTGCATAACTTATTTAAATAATAATTTTTTATAATTATAAACTATTTGAAAGTATGGTAATCAACTGAAGTTCAGTTAGAGCCATTAAGGAGCTCACAATCTCCTTAATAAATTATCCACTAAAAGACAAAGCAATAAGCCAACCAGTTAAGCAATTTTAGGCCTCAGACACTTTAAATAGAAATATAATTATATTTTCCATACAAAAAATTACTAGCATTCACTTATGGTTGAAATATTATCATTCCACCAAGGCTATGTTGTTTATTTTAGCATAATAGATAGGTTGATGATGGTGCATTAATTGGTTTTGTCATGTTCCTAACCTCCAACATGTAGATTTTCGAAGGATGTCTTGGATTAAAAGGAGGTAGCCATTACTAGTATACCTTTCTTGCCATTGAACCTCTTTTCATCTGGGAAACCATCATTCCGATACCGAGTCAATTGCTCTTTGACTTCTTCTGGCGTTGCTTTGTTTTTCTTCACTACAGCCTTACCCTCATCATAGACACTACTGCGTGCTCCATGTTCTGAAATTGCTAGTGAGGAATTTGTGCGCCAAAGAAGGGCTTCAAGAACACCCAGTGGATCCCTCCGGAATTGAGATTTGGAATCTACCCAAATTGAATACCTTGCTTGAGGGAATAGTCGATGGTTCAGCATCTAAAACCATCAAGAAGAACTTTCAGATGGAAATCCAATAAAAGTTAAAGATTCTGAACTATAAATCATAAACATAATAACCATGACTCAACAAAAGGAGAGAGAGAGACATCAAACAAACCAAAGTATATCACATTATTTAAATAGGGTTCTGGTTGACAAGAACATTCTAGAAATTTGAAGAAGTCTTTTAAAAGCATTTTAGTGCCTTTGTTATTGGTAACAAATATATCAAACTAAGAAACAGAAGAAGCACATAAGATATATGCAAGGGCTACAAGTAAAATCCCCTACAAAAGAAAAAAAAAAAAAAAGTAGGATAGATGCCCCTAAAGAATCTGCCAACCTATACAACCCCTCCCAACCAAAAAAAAAACAGAAGGGGTAAGGAATGTGCATAGTTTTCAAAAACGAGAAGGAGCCCAACACCTAAAACTGCCAAGCTCATGGAAAAAAAAGTATCCACATGATCAAATTTGAGCTCAAACAACCTCAAAGTGAACACCTTCAATCAATGTCTCAATATGGGCAACTTGGACTACCTGCACTCCCAATAGATTTGTTCATGGGCCGGGCCCATTCAAAATTTGGCAAAAGCCAAGGCCGAGCCTGGCCCATTAATAGGTCTAACTCCCAGGTCCCAGCAAGCACCATCCATCCAATTTCCAACCCTTAACAGGCAAGAGCACCATCTCTTCATCTCTATTCCCTGTCCTCTAGATTGTTCACCACTCCCCCCACCCTGAAAAGCTTTCCTTTGTTTTTTGACAAAATCCCCTAGTCATCTAGAATATTTGCTAAATCCTGCTCAGGACAACCTCTATACCAACCTTTCTGTTATTTTGTCAATACTCAATAGCACCAAATTCCTTCTATCCCCACCTTGCTCTATTTGTGTCTTCCAATTTGATGAAACTCAGCTGCCTAATCATGACAAGTCGTGAAGAATTACCCATCTCAATGAGAAGAACAGGGAGCAAGGCAAGATAAGAACAGAACCAGATCTTGGAACTCATGGTCTGGAGGGGACGCAGGGAATGGAGGAAGGTTCTTTGAAGTTTTTGGGAAGAGAGAATAGAAAAATCTTTCGAAGATAGCATAATATATAAATGAAGATAAACAGGCAAGCTCTCCTAGAGATTGCTGGTTCTCAGAGGGGAGCCATTTCAAAGCTTTTGAATAGAAGAATTTTTCAAACATAACATGTTTGTTATTGAAAAAGCTAAGGTAGGAAACTATGTTAGGTTCTGCTCCTCAAACAAATCCTATGGTATAAGCATTCATATAACCACCTAACACTGCTTCTTACATAAAGAATGATCTATTTTTTCATAACTATAAAGAATGGTATATTTACACAAGAGTATGAATGCTAATTGGGTAAGAGAGGACCTTGAGTGGTAAAGTTTGAAAGATCAATAATAACATCACATGTTCCTTTTCAGACACAATCACACAATTGAGACCAGCCACGATGAATATACCAAAGCATCAGCTCTTCTTCTAGGTCTTCAAGATTTTCATTTTCCAGACGTCCATATCTTATCCTAGTTTAAGGGGACCGGGATGCCTTTGAAATGGGGTCTCAAGGAATCCATCAGAGACCTGCACACACTATTAGAGAGGCATTTTATTTTCACATCTCATTCTCTTGGGCTATGTTTGGTTTGAAGGAAAAGGTAGGGAAAGGAAGGGAAAGGTAGGGAAACCTGTACAAACCTTGTATGGGTTTCCCTACCTTTTCCTTCAAACCAAACACAGCCTTGAGTACTGCTGTCAGGGAATGAGTTTGTTCACTTGCTGCATGGAGTGGAAATTTAAGAGGGAAGGGCTAGTCTATAAAATTTTGGGGAATCTTCATTTACACCCACCTCACAAATTTTTACTTCACTGTCCAGTTGGGAACAGTGATAATGGGGGAATTGATACCAACGGTATGGTGTCATAAGTAGGGATGTTGGAAGTTTTAAATTGTCACGTGTACAATGAAGTAAAAATTTGTGGGGTGAGTTTCAGTGAGATTTCCCCTAAAAGCTTTACACCTTACAAGCTTCTAATATTTTTTTCTTTCTAATTTCAACCATGTTGGTAAGTCTCACATAAAGCTCAGTAAGATCATGATCCAGATTAGTAATATTATATTTATTACTATATAATATTTTAAATCTATTCATGAGTTCAAACATAAGTACAGTCAGAATATTTTCAAAATCTAAATGTCTTGTCATTTTACAACGATGGTTGTTCAAATATTTGAATTTTTAAATCAAATCTAATTGTCTTCCATATTTTTATTCTTATAATATATTTGAAAATTGAAACCATAGATCCGGAACCAGGCCCAGGCTGGGCTGGACCCAGGCCTAGCCCTTAGCATAGGTGGTAAGCCCAGCCTGCCCTGGCCCATGATCACCCCTAATCCAGATTAGGGGTTTCAATGGACCGGTTTTGGGTTGGACCCCATCCAAATCAAAATCAATTTGGACAGACTGGATGAACCAATAAGACATTGAATTGGACCAGTCCAGACTTAATGGTCCAAAGCATTTATTGGATTCGATTGGACCTGGTCCATCCGTAATGCATTTATATTGGATTAGGCCAAATTGAACCAATATCCAGTCCATTGATAGAAAATAAGAATACAGGTGTCAAAGGACCAGGTTTGGATTGGAACAAATCTAAACTAAAACCAATTTGAACAGATTGGATAGTCCATACATTGAATTGGACGGGTCCAAAATGGTCCAAAGTATTCATCGGATCGGATTGGACCTGGTCCATTTGTAATGGACTCGTATTGGAATGGATTAAATTGGACCAAATCCGGTCCAATTGACACCTCTGATCCAGATTCAATCTCAACCTTACCAGTTAAACCAGATTCAAATCTTATATGGCAGATCTATTCATAATTGGATCAATTTTGAATCAAACTGAGCTGATGTAGTTAAGCCTACAAACCCATTAGACAATGAAGCAAGAAAAAGCTACAGGAACAAACCCATTAGACAAATTCTTACATAATTTTTATTCATCAAAAAAATTCTTACATAATTTTATTAATGACAAAAAAACAAGCTGATCTGAGTTTTAACTATTGGCTGTTGCAGGAAGGGGTGGGTCAGCTGGAGGAAGGGATGGAAGGGGTTGAGTGGGGGGTTGGTGTATTCAGGGCCTTGGCTCTCTGGACATGGAAACCAAAGGAGGTACGTGACCAAGCCTTGGTGGATGATATTGGAAAGGAGGAATAAGCATTGAGTATTTTCACCTTCAGTTGGGGCAGCAAGGGGTATTTTAGTGATGTGGGATGCTGATGCTGTTGAGGCGATTGATCAACATGTGGCAAATCATTTTGTCTCCCTTTCAGGAATATGGAAGACGGATGGCAAAGGTGTCTATCCTCAGTTTATGGGCCAGCTGCTGGTGAAGAAAGGTAGAGTTGGTGACAGGAATTGGATGATTGTGCCTGCTGATGGAAAGCACCATGGTGCATCAGGGGCGACTTTAATATCTTCCAATTCTCCACTGAACACAAAGGAGTGCCAAAATTAACAGTGAGATGTGGGGTTTCGATGAGTTTGTTTGAAGACATAACTTGATTGACCTGCCGATGCAAGGGGCAGTCTTCACTTGGAGATATCTGAGAGAAGCAGCATTGATGTCAAGGC